TCCAAATACCTGATTGAACTTGACACTTGTGTTCAATACTTGACCAATATGATTACATGATATATGATTGGTTTGATAGGACAAGAGTGTACTTTATCGCACTTGCCCTAATGTGATATATTCTTATTCATTGATTGCAATTGAATTGAAATACATGCTTATGATTCATATCTTGTCTGGAATTCTATAAACCCTATGGATAGTTAATTGAGTCGAGCCGGCAAGGGTTTGGTCGATTCGATAACGAACCCTGGGTCTTTAGTTTTGTCGAATGGAGTGTTATCTCCTCGACTAATCGGTATACTCGAGTATTACCACCAGTGTTTATCTTGGAATGCGGGCCTGGTAAAGGGTTTGGTTGGTGGATGGAGATTGAAGTTAAGTGGTGTACTACTGGATTAGTTACCTTACTTGAAAGTTGACGGAGTGTCAACTATTATATAATCAAGCTATGGTGGAGTTGGTTTACAAAAGTAACTGTATCCTTTTACATGAAATGCTGAATATTTAATGTTTGGCCATATGAAGTGTGATTGCTTATTTTCTTGACTTGTTATGCTCGTTATTTCACTATTATGATACTTTCACTTTTAATTAATGGTCAATTTGCTATTTGGAACATCACTGAGTTTTAACTCACTCCGTTAGTTTTGTTTTTCTTATAGGGGTACGAGCGAGGCGTGAGACTTGTATAGGTTAGAGTAGTCTAGTTTTTGAATTTTGAAATTATACTCGCTCTAGCACCCGACTAGGGTTGATTATACTTGGTTTGTAAACACTTTAACGTATTTGGGCGTGTATAAGCCTTGTAGTTGGATCTAAACATCAATGTATATATTAAGTTTGAAATTGTTGTATTATTTGTTTTTCTATGGATGTAAGTTATTTTCTCGAGCTACGGGTGAGTAAGTTCTGGCGAGAGTTGGACAGGCGACTTGCTAAACCCTAGGGTATGCCCTAGAGGGAGGTGATGTCGTCACAGTTTCAATAAGCCAAAATTCGGACAGCATGCATCTCTCATTCCTCTAGTTTTCTTTTCCAACTTTCCATTAAAACTAAGCCATAATTTCTCAAAATAAACATCAAACAAGCAAGTAAACACACAATAATCCTCAAGGCCTCTACCTATAAAGTCACCTCAAGTCCACTACCTAGTGTCAAGATTCTTGTGAACCCATCAATAACCCAACAACTAACTAACTACTAATAGTTGAGAGGAAAAAGATGAGAACTTGGAGGATTACATTTGCTTCCAAGAATGAAAACTAACCACTAGTGTATGAGCTCTTAAATCACCAAAGTTCCTTCCTTGCTCAAGTCACCTTCCAAGCTTGTATGAAAAATCAAGAACATAAGCAAATTTGGAGAGTCTTCTTGGAGGAAAATGGAAGACAAGGGAGCTGAAATTTTTGGTAGGAAATGAGAGGGAGGGAGTCGGCCAAGAGGAGTGGGGAGAAGAAAGGTTTTGGGGGTAGTTGGGTGATTTGATGGTGTGACAAGATGAATGACATAAAGGTGTCTTGATACCCCAAAAGTCAACAATCGATTAGTGAGCAATTAGTGCTCCTAATTGAGCTTAAGTTAACTCACTCATATCTAATCCCTCAATTAACTTTTCTTAGTCTACTATTAATCATTCTTAATTCTCTAAGATTAATATACTCTCGGATAGAATTTGCCTCAAAAAACATGCATTCACTATTTCTTATTAAGCGAACCACAGAGAAATTAAATTTGCTAATGAAACGTTTTAAAAATATAAATGAGACATTGTTCCATGCAAATGGATTTAAAATGGAGGAAATAAATTATTCGGAGTAAACGGGTGAACAAATAATTAATTAAATCAGTAAAATGAAATAAAAGTAAGTAAAATTAAAATTCGGGTCCTCACACTATAACCTAGAGACTGAATATGGTGAATATTGCTAATCTTAAATATTGATTAGTCAAATTGAATTTGCAATTGAATCAGACTTAGATGAGTTCGTTGATAAAGTAGGACAAATTACTTTAGATACTCATTCTAAAATTAAACCTGATGCAAAACAAGAGTTTTCTGAAAATCTTAGGCAGAATCAATTTTAGGGTAAAATTTATCAATTTAAGGCAATAATCACTTGATTAGATTCAAGACAACATTAAGTAAATTCCCACCAATAGAACAATTTATGGCAAGAATCAAGAACCACAAACACATCCGTATCTGATTCACCAAACACATTACATATACAGTAATATTTAAAAAAAATACAAATTAGGCCAACAATTCATCAATATTATTCAATTGATGAAATGGGAAAGACGGATGAAAATATAAAGAAGGTAGGGTTTTGAGTTATTTAGTTTTTCTTTATATTATATAGAGTGTTATACTATATTATTATATTTCCATATATCAATATGATATAAATAATATATTATATACATACTTATGTATCTACTGTCGAATATGAATATGCACTCGATCACTGAATCCATATTCCATTTATGAAATCGAATTCGGTCTTCTCGAATTGGGGATATCTTAATTCGAAATCGACGCTAATTGAACATATTGAATTCGGATACTTCGAATTTCAACCGCTTTACCATTTTACCGAATTCGTTTCTGTATTGATTTCAAATTCAGTCAGGAATTCTGCATTCGAATTTTTTGCACACCCCTGATTCAAGGAGGAAGGAGAACTAAGGTGGTACATTTCTCAGAGGGAAGTGGAGCGACTAAACTTCAGAGAAAAGAGGGAGTTGCTCCGCTCTTTTGTCACGATTTTGGAAAGAGAAAAGTGGTGATTCATTTGTTTTTATTTTAAACGTTTTAAGTGTTAAGCCTACTTGAGAATTATTCGTTCACAACTTAAATTTTTTTGGTAATAAAAAGTAATAAAATTTTGACATCCTCTTATTACTGCCAAGTAATTCTTTTTCATTGATGTGATATCTCTTTTCGGCATCTGAAAACATTCCAGATGCATATCTATATAATAAATTATTTTCTGTTTTTAAAATTGCACTCCAAACTTCTTCAGAAGCATCAGTTTTTAATATAGGATTATCTTCATCAGATGGTAAGGTTAAAAACGGATAATTTTTACATTGCTCGTTTTATTTTCTTTACTAGAGCTATATGATTTTCAGAAAATTCATATTTATTATTTTTCTTCAGTAATTTTTGTAATTCTTTTCTTTTATCCGCTAAGTTGCAGATAAAATCAGATGCATAATTTAATGTTCCTAAAAATCTTTGCAATTATTTTTTATCTTCTAATTTATCAAGAAATGCTTGTATTTTTTTTTAAAATATGCGGTTGCATTTTTATTCCTTCACCATTTATTTCTAATCCTAAAAATTCAATTTCTTTTAATCATATTTTCGCTTTCTTTTTCGATAATCCGATTCCATGTTTTAAACATAACTTAGAGAATATATTTAACTGTTCTAAATGTTCTTCTATTAAATTTGAAGCTATTAATATATCATCAACATATACATATAAGAAAGGATAATCTTTGAAGATTTTATCCATTTTTCTTTGATATATTTGAGGGGCATTTTTTAATCCAAACAACATAACTAACCATTCATATTGTCCTCGAGGAGTACTAAATGCTGTGTATTTAATACTATCAGGATGCATTTTTATTTGCCAAAATCCACTGTACAATCAAATTTAGAATATATTTTCTCTCTTCTACTCATATACATGAGAGTTTCTTTATGTGGTAAAAAGTATCCATCGAATATGGTTTCATTATTTAATTGTTTGTAATTAACAACCATTCTAGGCTTATTTCTCACTATTTCAACATGGTTTCTTATCATAACTGCAGATAAAGAATGGGGAGAATTACTTTCTCTTATTAAAGGAATTTGTAATAATTCTTTAATTTGTTTTTTGAATTCATCTTGATCAGTAGGATTATACCTCATGGGTTTAACTCTAATTATTTTATTTTCATCTTTGAATTTTATTTCAGCATAATCTTGATTTTTATTCCAAAATTTAAGAGGATTTTCTGTACAACTTAATCTTAATTTTTCTTTTATGTCTTCTTGAAACTCTCTTGAATTTCCAAAATTAGTTTAATTGAGTTCTTGAAATTATTCTTCTAATAGCTCTGTAGCAAGTTCTACACACTTGCAATCCTCATATTCTCCAACAACTAATGCTCAAATAAGACTACAGAAGCTATCTCCATATATTGTTGAATAGTTTTCTTTCATGATTCTACGAAGATGCTCTGCTTTTAGATTCTTTATGCTTGCTAATGGCATCTTTATAAAACATGCAGGGCACCCTTTACCCATATTACTTGATGATAACAAGGCTTCTTTGATGAATATTGCCATTGACTCGATCATTCTTTTCGATGAGATCAACTGATACGATCCCATAATTTGCTCAATGACCTTGTAGTTTGAAGATATCATTGAGCTAAAACTGGGAACATGTTTGCTTATAAAAAATGGAGGTCCAATATGAATAGAAGAGTCGAGAAAAACATCAATTGTAACTAATAATAGTAGTGATTAGCGAATAAACGAACAAACAGAAGTGAATAGTTTCGCAAGAAGTGGGCACCTTATCATTTTACATCCTCATTGCGTTTCTCTACAATAGATGCAAATTATTTCCTATTTCACTCCAATGTCATGCAATTTTTAGGCATGCTTTGGTACTAAAAATTTCGAACTGCCAATTCACTTAATTCAATATTATATATTTTGCTTTTGGTTGATCCACATACCAAATCAGGTAAAAGATGAGCTCCAATGGCAAAGCGCACTGTACAGTAATGCATGCTTATAATATTTTACCTTGACTAGTATGGAACAAACCAAAAGCAAAGATTAAATTCTCAAAACGCATGAAAGATTCAAAATTTCCAGCGGCTAAAACATTAAATCCTACATGAAGGAAGAGCACCTCGTGCTCTTGTTCTTCCTGGTTTTGCAACTAAAACATTGGGAACAAAGAAGCAGTGCTTTACGTACTGGATTGATGCAACAAGTTTGTCAAGTACTTCAACCATCTGAAAGCCAAATTCAGGACTTATATATCCTTAAGCAAATCAAGTACACTCCAAATTCTTCCCCAGAAAAATTAAACGCCAGAAGAGTTCCAAGTTCAGAAGCCATATCCTACTGCAGTTGGAGTATATACATAAAGCTGAACCAGTAAAGTTTCACCTAGGACCAGAATGCTGTATGCCATGGCGCTTGGAAAAAGCTGAACTCAGTAAAGTTTCACCTAGGACCAGAATGATGTATGCTATGGCGCTTGAAAAATTCTCTGAAACCATAGGTGCTGACATCATAGTTGAACTGCGAATGCAAACAAAGACTTGATCAAACAACAATTGTCATGAGAGAACGAGAGATAGAGAGAGAGATTTACACTAATGACTATCAAACTTAAGATAAGGCTAACTTAAGGTAGAAAACAGGGATTTACAGTTTAACACCTATTCAGATTGAAAGAAAGTGATGAGTTCCACATTCAAGATACAAAAGGCTAAGGATGATAAAAGTACATAAAAAGATTCAGAAGGTGAAAAATCCAATCTGTTACAAACAGCAATCAAGATTGAGTTTCAGATGGTAAAACATACTGGAAAGAAATTGAATTCTATAGAATGAGGATTATAACATAGACATTTGGCTAATGTCATATACGGTATCACTGTAAACAAATGTTTACATGGGCAAGGCTTTGGTCTTCACCACATATCCAATAGCATTTAACATGTGATTATGTGTTAAGCTCTAGACAATGATCTCTTTTACACTGATGACGTCTATAAGGTTGATCAACAGACATAACCAGCTCTATCATAACCTGAAGACTATGATATTCCATATAAAACTAGTACTCATTATACTTCAGTTGTATTTGTTATGAAAATTTTCCAACTCAACAGAATAAGAAAATTCAACTTACTTGGCTCATGAATGAAAGTACAATTTAAGCAGTTAAAAAATCTGTTTAAATACTAATAAGAATGCATCAGGTCCTTCACTTCCAAAAGACTTAAAAAGCCATCAAGATGTCCCATTTTAGTTATGACAATGCGAGCTTTAGACAAGTATCTTAGTATGTTCTCTTTTCATGGGAAACAATGAAGCCCAGTAAGTATAGTTCATTAGACATGAGCTGCATACTAGAGCGTAAACACACAACACCTCAAGTTCTCCATCCAGATTCCAGAGCATATCTATTTGTGTTCTTCTTGCCTAAATCCCTTCACAACAGACGTCAGAAACATAACACCTCCAAAATGTTGTTGCTAACAACTAGGCCAACTTAGGGACTTGTAATCGTTGAGTATCAACTAAAGGTTAATTATAGTGGAAGATTTTGACAGCATCATGAGAAGGCATATATCCTGCAGCTCCCAGTTGATCCAATTTCAGATGCCACAATAAAAGGTAAAGATGCTTGTCACTGCTTCACTCTTCATCAATTTTCAATCTGGTGAAAAAGATCTAATTGATGGGCAAAGCCCATATAAAACTAGCATATGTAGCTTCAGAGGCATTAAGTTTGTCCTTCTCACTACATTCTACAGAGAAAAACAACAAAACACTATCAAGTGATACGCAAACCCAATTTTTTTTACGAAGAATCCTCTTACATAATGAAATATGATTGTGAAATAGACCCAAAAACATCACATTTTGTGAATTGACCACTGCTGACTACCTTGATTTTCAATTTTCTTCATCTTTGACAAGATAATTTCAGCAATTCTACAGTAGCAAGCATCAGTAGGAGAAGGAGAAGAATCAAAGAATGGCGAATTTCCAAACTCACTAGCTTGTATATGGACCAGCTATGCTCTTGGAGATTCTTACTTTTCCACAAGGCTCGGAAAACTTTGCTTAATACTGTGTATTTTCATGTAATAACCAAACAGCAAGTAAAATTTGTGTCAATTAACTGATGACATCACTAGTTTGGAAAAAAGCTCTCTAGCAGCTCTTGAACACCAATACTTTTACAGCTCTTGCTTACGTAAATGTTTTTAAGACTCTTTAACCATTACTACCATAAAAAAAAATAAAAGAAAGTTCCTGGCACAGCCCTGATACTTACACAAAACATGCCTATGGTCTTCAAATACGCTTAAAGAGTAACAAACTATCAGAACTTACGTACTTGAATTCTCAAAAGGCTACCTCGCATATGTGACATCCAAACAACTTAGATATGTATAGCTTTATTGAGAAAAATTGTTTACCAAGAAGAACTACATTCACTAGCATGTCAATGGGGAGGGTTTTGTGCCGACCCAATCCAGTTCCATCATAGTTTCATAACTCTTAGTTCAAATTCTCAAACACAGACCTTACCAAGAACCAGACCTTGTAAGAGAATTATGGGTTGCGAAGGATCTGGTTTTGTACAATATAGACCCAGACCCAGAGCCTACCTACGCCCTTATATGTTCATGTAAACTTGTGCAGGCTTGTAGGTGCCCACACATATAAAGCAACATATGTTACATGATGCGTATACATGAGACAAGTGGCTAGAATCACTCATTAAGAGATTTTCTAGGTTTTCTGTTTTCTTAGGTAAGCTTTGAAACTCACTAGTAAAAGAACAGAACTGTAATTATTTAGTTATTCGCAACTACCATAAAGGAAAATCTTCTGTACCACGTATAAGAACTTGGTTTAGATCAGGACATACTGAGCACAGAATAGTGTTCATCACAAAGTTGGTCATCCAGTGAGACAGACATAAGACATCCAAACTACAGAATTTAAAGTGCACAAGAAAATTATGGGCGACTTGTAAAATAGTGAACCATTTGAGCCAGTATGATAACAAGCAACATTCAGATCCGGGTGACACTCTAATGCAATTTAAGCTATCATCAAGTAAAGCTTCTTTCTAGAAGCCACTATATGAAAAAATAAAAAAAAAAAGACATTGAGATCTTAGAGAAAGGATAAGAGAACATAGCACGAAAGACTGCGCAAGTCCATAAAGACTCAAAACTTACAGGTAAAACTTGCACAGAGTATTTTGTAATATTTGGATCAGCAACCCTTCCATGATTAATTGCCTGGTTCAAAAGACAAAGATAGAGCTTAATGAGGCACGTAATTGTCAGCTGCACATAGCCCAAATCTTAGATTAATTGACTTGGACTTACAAAATAGGAATAAGCATCCTACCCTGCTCGGGTCCACAATACTACCAAAAGTTCTTACTCAAACAAATGGGAAAAAGAAAGCATCATGAAACTACCTTCTCTTGAAGAAAGAAAGAATCTGACTACTTAAATCCACAAGTAAGAAAGAGATAAGGAAAGGAAAATGCCTCAAATACCAAATAGCTGGCATATCCTCGATAATACACCCAAAATGAAATTATTCCACATATAATAAACAAGATTTAAGGTTATTACAATTCCAGAGCAGATCAGGAAAGTTGACCCCATATTGATTACACACTTGACTCCATTTTCTTGAAGTTTTGCTGGTAGGTGGATGTATGAGGATAGGAGACCAAATATTTATGCTATCCTCTATTCCTTGATAACAAATAAATAATTTCACTGGAAAAAAAAAAAGAAATGATTTTCAGATTAACATTCTTAGGTATGTTATCAGTATTGAAAAAGTTCAAAAAATTTCAAGGTGGCAATGGAACAAATACTCTTGGTTTTTGTAATAGACCAAGTACTCCCATTAGTATCAACAGATAATCTTATTTTTTTGTAAAAGTTCTCATTAATATCAGAGTCCATGTTTGATTAACATCAAACTCTTTGTTACCATGAATGCATATATAGGAAGCAAAACTGGGTTTCCCAATACAGCTGAATTTTCTCTGGAATGATTAACTACTTAAGCAAAATAATGGCTCTGTATGGATTCGTAGTTTTCGGAAGAGGGTAGGGGAAGGAGGACAGAGGATGGAGGGAGGAAGTGGCGGTCCTTTGCAATGCTGGTGAGGGGTGGGCGTGGCGGTAGAGGGAGCTGGCAGAGAAGAGTGAAGGGTGGCCGGGAGGCTGAGGTAGGGAGGAAGAAGATGTTTTGAAATTATAAAAACGTCCCCAAAAAATTTTAAATCCTTAAAACGCCTGTCATACAATTGTACGGTAAAGTTTTTGAGATACAATGCTATAGCATGGCTCCTAAAAAAATCTAATCCGTACGGACCCAATAATTTCAAGAGGTAAAAATGATCAGATTTGTCATTACCATTTTTAGGTATGTTTATGGTAATTCAAAAAAAAATTAAATCAAACAGATACTACTGATTTTTGTAAGATTTCAAAAATTCCCATTAACATCAACTAGATAATCTTGCTTTTTGTAAGAGTACAAGTATTCATCATCACATGTTTAACTCAGCATCAAATTGTTTGTCATTGTGGAGGTATTGACACAAAAAAACAAGCTGGGTTTCCAAATAAAGCTAAAGTTTCATTGGAACCCTAAAATCATATGCATAGGGACACTCAAAACAGATAGCTTTGTTGAAGTTTCTTCTTTGCATTAAAAAATCCAGGCAATCAGGTACAAAGATATTCATATACTCACTTCTACTCAAACAATGAGGTTGCATACCACAACTTATTATAACTTTGCTACAGTCAAAGTGTCGGCAACTTGAACTAAGTATAGACTAAAACCTTAAAAGTTTATCAATCTTATCATGATAACTAGCTCAAAATACACTACACAGTTAAAAAGAATTTTGACCCTTCATCTTTGCTTGAATTAGCCAGGAAAGCATTACTTGATGAATTTTATGGCAAGTGTTTTGCACTTTCAAGTTTCAACGAATTTCATTTCATGTACACTGACAAATGAATTGCATTTCTCACTTATCCATCAACCAGACTTGCAATGTTCTCATTACTACATTCAGCCAGAAGTCATTCCTATTACATCTCACTTAAGTAGTTGTTGATAAACATTTAGATAATAACACATGAAAGAACTTTAATAGGATGTGGGATTAGAGGAGTATGGGCACACTATCAATTCCACAAAAACATTCTACAAAACTAGAAAGACAAATTGCTCCATCAGACGTTCAAAAAATGTGGCATGACATTATGAAGAATATAATAATAATTGTCATAATGTACATTTACTTGTTCAATTAATGTAAAGCAAACCACAAAAAGATATGGTTTTCAGGTTACACTTACTTGTTCAGGACTGTGAAATATCTCAATAAATGGATATTCCGTCTTCTGGCGAGATATACAAAACCCAGGATACTTTGGGCACTCAACCTGTTATGGCAAAGATATTTCCAGCACAGAACCAATTTAGTGAGATGGCCGAATATTCTCATTACAGGGAATTCTTCCTAAATGCAAATTCAATGATCAGTGATGTACATTAGCAAAATTTATTTCAGTTATACAGCTATTAGCACTAAGATAGTTATAAACCATGTAAGCATCCAGGTGTAGGCACACTAATATATACGCCTGTGGTGAAGCATTCTCGTATGAAAACCGAAGTAATAAATGTACAATAACCTTCATATGCATGAAAAGAAGGTGGCTTCAGCTATATTCCAGCATTGAGGAAAGTGAAATGAGGAAACTAACAACTTCTATGGACTGCCACTTCTGGAAAACAAAAATTTTGCTCTTGAGAAACATAAAGAATGGTTTGTGGACCTATTGTTCCCCTTCTAAATGTTTAATTGGGCAATAAGGAGTGACATCACATTTTCGATTCATCACATTATACAGCTTATATTTCTATCAAGCACCCAAAAAACATGTGTTACGTCTAATCAAACATCCCAATTAGGAAGACGACGAGTACAAAATAAAGCATCTAGAAGTGACTTACACGCAAAAATTTTACATGAGGATAGAATTTGACTGCTGCTTCCTCGAGAACTTTGTCAAGATGCTTTGTAAGGTTACATCTGCATAAATTAGAAATGCATGACTTGAGTATATAGGTTCATGAGCAAGACAAACAGTCAAAGAAAAGAGAACAAAATGCAAAATTACTTGATGGTAAATGCAACAACCACAGGGTAACCTTGATGAAGAAGCTGGACAAACTCCCGCTCTGAAGTAAAATGAATAACCCTTGATGGCCCAAGATCCTTTGGATATCCAGTATAATACCTTCAAAACCCAATTAGGCAAAAGAATGTAATAAGAAACGATAAGGGTAAAGAAAATCTCTAACTGGAAAGTCAGGGAGCTAGGACAAGAAGTAAATTCAGAGCTAGTAAGTAGATTAAAAATTTTTGCTTTGCAATCACACTGGGCTATATTTTGGCATTAATTTCAAGGATTTAGCCATTCCAAAACATTAAAACGAAAAAGGCATTTATGTTTTTCAAAAGTGGTCCAACACCAATGCATAGAGAGTTGATAGTCATGAAAATTATATGGCAAAGCAAAAGATGCACCTCAGACACAACAATTACATGCAATGGACCTAAGTCCAACTGCTATGAAGTATGGTCGTCGCGTTTCATCTCATTGTTGAAATCCAAAGTGACGATTTCTCCAATAAATGTATGTTGAATCAGGAAAATCTTCCTAACATTAGTTGAAACCAATATGAAGTAACATAGCAGGAACAAAAAAATGAATATGATACCAACTCTTGCAATATGAAGATTCATTCTTACTGTACTACTACAATTAGTTTGCCATACTAAAAGTAGAAGTGTACAAATCAACGCAGTCAAAAAATACACTACACACCTGCAAGTCGCACGGAGATTAAGCATCATTTTGTCGAAAAAGGAAGGCTTCTCCATTGCAAAGGCAATAAAACAATGTAGCTTGAGTTTTTCCTTTTCTCAGCCTTTCTGCTAATACTATTATAGTTTTAAAAAAACGGCAGAACAAAAAATGGTCAGATTCATCTATTTGAAGAGCACAAGATATTTAAATCAACATAAGACTTGCATCCTTTTGATCAAGTCTAATCAAACTAAAGCAGTTGGTAAACCATAACTTTAAGTGAAAATATGAATAAAGAAGAAAAGATAGCCCAAGAATCCTAGTTTAAGAATAAAAACTCTAAGTAATAGTTTTTCTAGATGTATGAATTCCCACTTGCATGACACGAGAGGGTAGAATTTAGCTTATATCATGCAGAGAACTTTGTGACCCAAAAACTAGCATTACAAAAGCACGTCTCAAAACAATGCTTTCCACCCCACAAGAACCATAATTCACCTCTGCAACTGATCAATTTACCCTCACACCCAACAAATAGCTCATGTATCAAAATACTCCACTTGTTGCATGCGCAAACGGTGAAGCTTAGTGATCAAAGTCAAGTTCAGGCTAGTGTATCAATTAGTCGTCCACAAGAAAATAAACACTATATTCCACTTTAAACTTATAATTTGGTAGCCAATCTTATACACACAAATTACCAAAAATAGGAAAATCCAAATCTCAAAACATAACATTGGGGGAGGGTTGGGTTGGGTAGTTAGGTGGAAGGGGTTGTAAGTAGCTGGTCCTGGGTTCAACACCTCCCACTTAAGATTGGGAAAAAATCCTGTAACATTACAAGGTTGATTCCAGGGAAAAAAGATTCACCAATAAAAACTGCTAAAGTACCACTATGAGAATTAAATAGATAAAATTTCACTTAGGCACAACTTCACCAACAACTCAAACACACTAAACACCTCAAGAGAAAAGCTGCATAAATTTCAAAAACTGGACAGAGGTCTCTATGGTCTCCTCTTTATTCAAGCAATGATAAACCAAAGTGTAGCATTTGAATAGATTAACAATATCTCTTTTGTGACAACAATTAAAAGTTTATGGCAAGTATATTTACTCAAAGGGTGAAAATAATTTATTAACACATTAGAATACTCCAAAATTTTGATTGCTGAATTAGTTATAGTCAATATTCACAAAGTACATTACATAATGGACCACCCTCACATTGTCACACCCCCATTTTTTAATAAATGAGAATAAAATGGTATTTCAGAATTTTGGTTTATTCAATGAAAAAGAGAAAAAGGATATAGGGTGAAGAATAAGAAACATAAGACAAAGTAAAATTAATACTCCCTCCATCCCATTGAAAATGTCATACTTTCCTTTTTGATTTGTCCCAAAATGCTTGTCACTTGCCAAAAATGGTTGTGAACTTTATGAATAATTTCCAATGCTTACTCCTATCTCACATGACCAAAAGGTAAGTGTTATTAGGGCCAAAAAGTCTTCCATCAAGACTTGCAACTTTGTTGTTAAGTTGATTGATATGCTGCACCAACGATTTTGAAATGATTGCCTTCCGTGTCTTCACGCTCTAAATCCAACTAGAATAAGTCATATGCCAGCCAAAAAATATGTGGGCCTTGCTGTCATGTTTTGCAATCCATTGTTCACCTTTCGTGTTCAAACAAAGGGCAAAATGAAAAATGTAGATGAATTCTTCAATAGTTGGGCACTGTTGATAATAAGTTGGAGTCTCGAAAAGTGATAAACTTTTCAGGATGGAGGGAGTAATTGAGAAGTTTAAGGGTTTTTTTTTGTCATTCTGGAACTTTAGTTTTATAAAAAAAAAAAGGTACAAGAAAAAATAAACACAAATATATAAAAGAAATAAGAAAAAAGCCCTTGAACAAGAAATAGAAGTATGACAGCTTGTAGACTAGAAAAATGTGTACTGGAACTGTTGCAACATTCTACAATGATAAACATGAGTAAATAAACAAAAGCAAGTAATATAAGCTACACAATTCCATGTACCACGTTGCACTCACATTAGTTTTAGAAGAGAACGAAGACTAACGAAGCTAATTAAACTAATACGGTTCGAAAAATGGCAAATTAATTCTCAGTTGCAATTCAATTAAATTACATTTCACTTTTTCAACCTACGGATTTAATTAAAACTTCGAAGAAATATACTCCAGAGGATTAATGAGAAAGCATCTAAACCTCAGCATGGGACCAAAGTAGGAAACAAGAAAAATCCAAGGGACTAAGTTCCAAGTTTAGAAAGTTTTTTCTATTCTCACAGTGAAAGAGCAGTGTCTGCACTTATTCTCCCTAGGCAAGCTATATTCCAGTTCCAGCCAGCTTTGTACGAGCCGGATGCCTCTCTCCCTAAACCGCCCATAAAATGATCTACGCATGTGGGTTCTACAATATGATCTACGCACAGAATGAAACTGTGGCAGTTGCCATCTCTGTTTTTTGCATATAGAGTTCACCGACAGCAATGGCAACGCTAGGCATGGCTGCCGCATGCAACGCTAACACAGAGTTGCCAGATGCCTCTCTCTCTAAACCACCCACAAAATGCTTTGTGCAATGGGGGTCTACCACAAAAAAAAAAAAAAAGCAAACTAACAAACAATGAACAACTGTGGCAGCCGTCTTCTCTGTTTTTTTGCATCTAGAGTTTGCCTGCAGCACTGGCAAAGCCAGCCATGACTGCCATGTTCAACGCTCTCATAGAGTTGCTGTCAGCACTAGCAAGCCAGGCATGGCTGCCCCGTTCACGCCCTCACAGAGTTGCAGTAGCACTGGCAAACAACCATGACTGCCGCATTAAACACTCTCACAGAGTACAATCTCCAAATGGAATATTGCACAACAAAAAGTAAATTTTCTAAGTTTCCTTTCAATTTTCACCTCGGCATTTTAACAAAAAGCTGATGGGCCCAGACCACCACCATGCTCTCGCGTCAAATCCGATCACAAGTAACCCCAAAACTTTTAATCCAACCAAATTCATAGTCTTTCGAACATAAATTTCAAATTTAAATTTTCAAAGAAGACAGAAAGAGTGGCAGTTCGAAAATGATAATAAAATTTTTCATTTGAAACAGATATAGGAAGGAGAAGTGAGAGTTTTACCGTGATATCTAATAATGTTGATTCTGGCAGCACAGTGGCGGTAGTGGTGAGCTGCCTGCGGCCAGCAACTCTGGTGTGCCGTCCTCCTCCTATGGAAAATTCTTGATTCCAGAATTTTCATGAGCTAAACATTGGTTGTCGTTTTATATTTTATTTATTGTCGCTTGGATGAGATCAGCTCGTCAACAGGTTGGTTTTATTATATTAGACCGATGACGTATTAAGGGACTCTCAACTGGGTAGTCGAGTTTGTTAGGCAGTTATTATTCCATTTCTTTCCCCGATAGCGATCTCTCCTTTCTATTACACGTTAAGCATACAAAATATATAAGAGATGTTTGTTAGGAATTTTATCATCCTTTAGGAGGCAATTATTCCACTTCTTTCCTTAACAGCAATCTCTCTCTATATATATTTTTAGGATTTCTATTACATGATGTTTCCTTAATAGTGATCTCTTTATATATAAAGGATTTTCCTATTACACAATAAGCATATAAAATATAAAAGATATACTTGAGTTATCAATTCATCAATACACGTGACAACTATATAAACACGAAACAGATGAAAGAGAAGGTAATTTCGAGACAAATGATTTGATAAAAATGTTATATTTTATTTATAATTAAATAAATAATCTGATTCATATTCATTTTAGTCTCTAAAAATAGAATTTGACCTAAATCATATTTATTTTCTCCTAAAAAAGTGGGATCCAGCCTAATCTATATTCACTTTTGTGATTGAAAAAATAGAATCGAACACTTTTGTATATAAAAAATAACTATATGTGGATCACATAGTGATTTCAGACTAAAAAGTTGTCAAAAACTTGGATTGACACCCGATTTTATTAATTAAATTTATAAATGAGGTAAAATTAACATTTTAAAAGTGTGTGGCGAAAAAAATTCATTTAACCAAATAATAAGGGCAGGCATTTCAAATGATTTCTCCTTTTTCTCCAAATAATGTCCAAAAATAATTTCATCTTATAATATTTTCTTGAGAATAAAATGAGAAACTAGAAAGGAAAGAGGAAAATCCAAAATTAAAAGAATTGAAAGGCTAAAAAATTGTATTTTAGGAAAGTGATTTGAATATTTTTTAAATCATTTAAGGAGAAGATAGATCTCTGCAATTCCTCTTTTTTAATTTCAATCATTAAGGTGAAAATTTTTGTCGAAAAGAGGAAGAATTAAATAAAGAAGAAAGAGAAAAAGAAATAAAAGAAAGGAAAACAAGGTAAATGAAAAGTCAAAATAATACAAGGGCAATTTTGTCCTAAAGGGGATTCAGTGAGCATAATTAAAGGTTAGAGGGTAAACTGAGAAATAGGGTATTTTTTAAGGGGATAAATTGTGATTAACCCTAATTTTTTTTGTAGAGTAGAAGTAATGATATTCCCAGTAGCAAAGCTAGAAATATTTGCCTTGGAAAGCAAATCTCTAAACCAATTGCTAGACACATCAAAAGAGATGCTGGCTTGCATACTCTCAATTTAGACCATTATATTCGTCACCGATATTGCTCAAGTCTGTTTCTACTTCAAGATAAGAAATTCCTGTATTTCTCCACCTCAAGTTATTTGTTTAGCACTTGTGTACTTCTGGGTTACTGTAAAAATTGATGATTAATGCAAGAATCCTGATTGCAGAAGAATTAATGGTCATTTCTGTGCAGTTAATTCTATTAGCGTAGAATATCTTATGAGTTGATGTTAAAAGAATTCTATCCTCTTAAAACTTTTATTTTCTGAGATTGCTTAAAACAGTCTTCTTTCCCGTCATAAGTTGTCAACATCATATTTGTGTAAAATAATTAAAAGCAGGGTTATTATCATTTTACCCCATTAACATTTGGTGCTATTATCAATTTCTCCCTTAACGTTATCTTTTAGTCACTTTACCCCCAAAACTAACGGTCAACTTAACGGAGTTTGTTAATTAAAGTGAAAAGACATGTTTAACTCTTAAAATTATTATTACTTTACCCCCATAAAATATAGTTCATTATCAATTTACCCTCTAGAATTATTTTTTTAGACAATTTATCCTGCTATTAAACCAACTTAACAAGTTAAAAAACCTTAGAAGAAACTATCCTCCTCTTTGCATGAAAAAAGTTAGAGGGATTCTTCTCCTTTTAATATCAACAAAAAAAGTCAAAGTATTAATTTCTTTCTTCTTAGAAATTTTATTAATATTGAAAAAAATAATAGAAATAGGGAGAGGGGGAGGGGGAGGGGAGAGAGAGAGAGAGCTCAATTCTTTTTTTAAAAATTACAAATAAGAAAGAGTTAAATACTTTTATTATTTTAAAATTATTTCACATTTTTGTTTACCACCAAATTCCAATTCTAATCTTGACAACCTTAAATTAATACGATAATGTTAGACGTTTCTTTATTTTCTTTTTTTACAAAATCTAATTTTTTTATCTCCTTCTTTCCTATCTCTTTTCCTTTTCCTAGTCTTAATAAGTGGGAAAAAAGAAATTTGAGAAAATACTTTTATTTTTATATTTTTTGATCTCTTAAAGTGACAAAAAGGAAAATAACCATTCCAACTTTTTTATTTTTAATTATATATAAAGAAGGGTAGCGATATTTAAAATTTTTTAACCATACTAGTTAGATTAATGATGAGATAAAACGTCTATAAAACAATATTAGGAACTAAAATTATTGTATCACTATAATCCAAACGAATAAAGTGATAATAACAATTTAGTAATGCTATAAAATAAAAGGGTATTTTTGTCTAAAATTTCTTAATATATTGAGTTGAATTACTTATGGGGATAAAGTGACTAAAAGATAACATTAGGGGATAAAACGATAGTAGTAATATGGTTTAAGGGGTAAAGTGATAATAACCCTTAAAAGCAGCCCAGATGTTGTTATGAAGAACTAATGGATGATGTTTGAAAATAAATAAGAGTAAATCTTATATACATTGACGGTGCATACATTATCACGATTGGATATACGAAACATATGTAAAATTTGAATTTTAAATTCAAATTTGGATTATGTTTCATGCATCTAATGGTGAAAATGTCAGTATATAGAAAATTAATCCAATAAGAGTATAATGTGTTTTGCAGTTGAGGTTGACAATTCTATACCATCATATCATTGGAAGATTAATAGTTATACTTCCTTCACAATTATATTAATCGACATATTTTGGTACTACAAATCATAGCATCAAACATATGTTCCATGTTTAAGGAAACTTATTTTGAAGGTCTTGAACGCAGATCCATCACTCTTTAGCACAAACAAAGTGCAAGAAACTTATTAATAATAATAAACCTCAATGACAGATCTCAAGCCCAGTACAGGAGTTATCTTGTAACCATTGAAGCCTGCCTCAAAGAAAAGCTTTGCCCAATCTTTCTCATTTCTTTCTCTTCCTTTGACCAGAACCATCATCAGCATATCAAAGAACAATTGGGTTTCAATAGCCTCCGCATTATCATCATCATCTCCATTTTGCCGGCTTTTCAGCAGCATGTCAATAATTATCACCTTGCCACCCTTTTCCTTGCTAGGAATTGCTTCTTTACATTTCCTAAGTATTTGTACACACTCCTCATCGCTCCAATCATGCAATATCCACTGCCAATAGCATCATAAAAGCATTGAAGAATTTGTCAGAAAACTCGTATATATCCCATGTGAAATTTATTGAATAAAATGATTAATTAAAAGAAAATGATAGAGATCGAGTGTGGGAGAAGATAAAAAGCAAGACTGTCGTTATTTTTATCAATCAACAAAAACATAAAAAGTATCACCAAGTTTAGTGTATGAAGAGTAACAAGGTGATATAATGTTTGATCACATACACAAGGGGCAAAGATGTATCACTCCATTGTATAAAATTTCATTTTTGAACGTGGAAACCATAACTTGACTATTCCGGAGGACATGAAACACAATTTGCTCTATTAATTAGTCATAAGATACGACTAGCAGTACTAGATCCTATCTTAAGAAATTAAAAAAAAAAAAAAGGGTGTTGATATTGTACTTGTTAAAACATGTTTATCCTTTTTCTTCATGGTGCAGTTTCCAAATTAAGCATATTTCTTGTTCACTTGAAGTTGACAGTTGTCTCTTTAACAGGTGAAGTTTAATAGGGGGAACTGAAGCAAAGTACAAAAAAAATTAAACAAGCTCCAAAAAGCTAGTTATTGAACCAATAAACCATGCCTGATTGATTTATACCTTCAATAAAACAGCATCTGAAGGAGGAATGGCTTCAAACATGTCACCTCCAACATAGGCCAAGTTCTTACTACTTTCCGAGCCATCAACAACATGAGGAAGATCAAGCACAGAGCATTTCAGATGGGGAAAAGCATCAGCTATAGCCTTAGCCACAGTTCCAGTTCCACCTCCAACATCAATCAACGAATTCAGCCCCATAAAAACATCCTTACAGTTCTTGATAACCATGGTGCAAACCAACCGGGCATCACTAGCCATGCCTTCATTAAAAAACTGGTTTAGCCGCGGTTGGCGACCTGCAAGCTCCCACATTGATGTCCCATGACAGCTATGAAATGGGGTTTCTTCATTGTCTTGAAACCACTGGCTAAAATGGTGCCATGGATCAGTCAAGATTGGATCAAGCATGGCAAGTAGAAACGGTGTCACGCTAAAAGGGTCATTTGCTAGTAGAAGTTTCGAAGCGGAAGTGAGTGCATACCCCTCGTGGCCTTCATTATCGGGCATCTTTGCTTTGATGAAGAATCCCGAGTGGATTAGAATCCGCATTAGGCGATAAACAAAATGGGCTTTTGCATTATTGATGGGAAGAGCATCGATCAATTGAGCAAGGGCCATTGGCTGGCCATGTTTGTGAATAATGTCTGGAATGCCTAATTGAATTGCACATTTGAGGGACATGGAATTTATGAAGTTGAATAGATGGTTCCATATGTGAGCTTGAGCTTGAAAAAGCTCACCAGTATGGTCACCATTTCTAGCAAAATCCATTTTTTTTTTGAGATTCTAGGATTGTTTCTTTTTGGCTGTGTGAATCGCTACTAGATCTAGTTAGCAATTTATAGGCGGGGTATGGGATTCATATGAACCACGTTGCAATAATTTTTCCTATTGTACTGACGACGACCTATTAAAAAAATGAATGATCAATCAGCCTCGACGAGCAATAGCTTGTGGGCAGCCAAGCAAATGTTTTACAGTTTCCTTTTCTTTAACTACCAAAACACATGTTTATATT